ATTTTTTTTTTTTTTTTTTTTTTTTTTTTTTTTTTGGAGAGGTGTTTGCTATAGGGTGCATGCGCTGGCCAGAAAGACAGAGAGAGAAAGAGAGACAGAAAGTGAGACATCACCCTCCCTCCCCCAGGGGGCATGGCCACGCTGCAATCCCTTTCTCCTCCATTCTCCTCTCAGGATCTTGGGCATGCATGCACACGTGCCCGGCATGAGTTTTAGGCCACTGGGTCCACGACACTAACCGTGGTCAACTGCATGGGAGTTTAGCAATATAGCCATTACGCTAACTGCTGATCCCCATATGTTTCTTTATCTAAAAGTTTATGAAAGAATGAAATTAAAGTGTGAGTTTGGGCCAGCCTGTGGCCTAGTGATTAAGGCAGCTAGATTCCACATAGCTGATGACAAACTTTGAGTCCCAGACCTAACAGCTTAAAAATTCTTGGGCAATGTTTAGGATGATAGCAGACATTGTTTTCTAAGATATTAGAAATATTTTGGAAAGTTTATATTACTCTGTATCACCATAGATAATGCTGTATAATACACAATACCTTCTTTATCATGTATCGAGTTCCTAGGGCACTTAGAATTACTGAACTATTTAACACCTTACGAATTCTCTATGACTACTAAAGCCTTGGGCTTGTCTGTTTCCAAAATGCTCTCATACTCTTTCAGTCTAAAAAAGTCATTCAATAATAGAATAATTAAGCTATAGTATACTATCTACTAGATAAATATAAGTTTGATATACATATATATATGATATGTACTATCTACTAGATAAAATATTATAGATGTTCAGGATTTATATTAAAATTTAAAAAGCAGGTTGTAAAATACATATATGCACCTGAAAATTACATGTATATTGCATATAAAAATACATGTATACAAATATATATGTACATGTATACAAATGTTAGATACTTAGAACAGATCTGGAAAGGAGAGAATCTGATAGAATCCCACTTGCATGCTTCTGGTCTGGCCAGGACAGCACTGTAACAAAGGCTCCCATTTTTCTTCTCCCAAGAGCAACTCAGGAGCAAGTACAGAAGTAGGAAACTACAGATTCTGGGAACTAAAGTAACACATGTGAAAAACCACTAGGGTAGACGAACAGCTAACTTTAACTGGTATGTGTGGGAAGAAAGGGCTATACCCTGGGGAGGACGGTTGTTGGAGGCAGTCAGTGAGAGGAATCATTGGACAAAAGTGCCCGCTTCTTTCCTCCGTAACTTGAGATGATGACTGCTTGTCCCTTAACCGGAAAGATCTTGGCAACAACCAGGCTGTAGATGCTGGCACCCTAGAGTAATATCAGGGAGCATGAAGGCCCAGCTAGAGTAAAAAGCTGTAGGTGAAATCTAGCCAGGATTCCATGGGCATTAGTTCTTTCGCCTTCTTCCACTCCAAACCAGAGAACTGAGGAGTTACAAAGATCTCCCAAACAAGATTTTCCTAAGAATTTAAAGATAATAATCACTAGAAGCGCTAAAGAGTAAAAGAGTGGAACAGCAGCAAACAGCAGTGATGATAACCAAGGGTTCTATGCTGCATGGGACTCTCCTCCCTAGGGCTCTTTCTTCCCCTCCTTTTCATTCACTGAAACAGGTATGGCCTGGAGTTACTCTTATTCAAATTCTTGGACAGTAAGGCTAAACTAACCAGTGGAACCTGAGCTCCTAAGTCAAAAGAACCAAATATCAAAAGTCAATATGCATAAAAAAGAGACAATGAAGTAAATGATAGTGCACACTCTCTCTCTCTCTCTCTCTCTCTCTCTCTCTCTCACACACACACACACACACACACACACACACACGGAGATAAGAAAAGATATTAAAGTGCAAAGTAAAAAAAAATCACATAGCAATATCAGGTTATGAAAAATGTAGTAAATAGGATAAACAGTAGGCTAAAGAACGAAGTAGTTAGTGTCAGATCGAATTAAGGAGCTCAGAATAAGAAAGAAAGAGAAAAATCTGAGAGAGAAAACAAACAGAAGTGCCAATATCCAGAAATAATGAGTACTAGGCAGAGAGGGAAAAAATGAGAGGAAGAAAAAAAATTTAAGACATAACAGAGATAAATTTCCCAGCATAAAAAATTGAAAAGATCTGATAGGCAGAATAAACGAACCAGTAACAGTAATTTTCAAAAAGGCAGGAAACAGGAACTAGTCAGTAGAACTTTTAAATTACGCTAACACTTCCTCTATTTTCCATCTCTTTTCTGTGCCATGTGTTTAATTTTCTGTCGCTGTGTCTCTCTCTTGGCTTCCTGGTTGCTATACTAAACACTTTAGTTTCTGTAACCATAAGAATACTTTCTTGGGTGTAGCAAAACAGCCAATCATATCTACCATGGTCCTAGTAAAATCAATTTTAGGTTAAGAGCTAAATAAAATTACAAAAATCTAATTATTGTTTTTTTAATTATTCAATGTTATTTAGTAGTAATAGTATTCCATTTTATCAGAGAGAGAGGGAGAGTGATACTGAGAAGGCAAGCCACCAGGTCCGGGACTTGAACCATGGTGGTCAGCCATGTAGGAGTTCAATGCCCTTAACAACCAGACCACCTGCCTGGCCCCCCAAAATAATAACTCTTTAATAAGAAGAAATAGCTTTTCATATTTTCTATGACTGAATTTTATATCTTCTTCTCTTACATTTCCTAATCATGTAAAATTTTAAGAACAAAAATTAACAGAAAATAAAACCAACTATTTCCTTTGGTTTTTACATAGTATTCAGAACTTCAGCTCATCTAAAGCCAGTTCCATATTTGTTCCAGCAAACACAACCAGGCATAATAGAAGTGCCTGAAGAGAGATCAAGAAATCTAGTTCCTGCTCCACCATTAGCCAGCCTGAGTGACAATGCTGTGTATTTCCACCTGGAATTTCCTTAAGCATTTTAAATTTCACATGTCAAATCAAACTCATTATCTTCCCCCCAAAACTTGGCACTCATCTCTCTGCAACTCAAAGCCAACAACTATAGAACTACTCACCTACCCCTTCCCAATACAGAAACCTCAAGGTTATCCTTTTAAAACTTCTTCCTTAGCTCTCTCAACCCAGTGACCAACAAGGCCCTTAAATTTCCATCCTTTTCCTCTCTACTTCTACTGTGACCATCTTTGTTCATGCTTGCTTTCTCTCTCACCTAGACTACACCAGTGGTATCCTGAAAGACCTTTCATATCTCTCTTATCTGTCCATAGGTCCACAATCCTAAGTATCTTAGCATGACTTGCCCAAAACCTGCCCAAACTATAGTGCCTAAGCCTTACCAGCACCTAAACAGAAAGTTTTTTTATGATCACTGGTTCAATCTGTTCTCTAGACCTACTGACTCTTTGTATAAAATTCTAGCTACACTGACATTTTTTTTTAGAGGTTTTTGCTATAGGGCACGTGCGCTCGCCAGACAGAAAGAGAGACAGAGAGATAGAAAGCGAGAAATCACCCCCCAGGGGGGATGGCCATGTCACAATCCCTTCTCCTCCATTCTCCTCTGGGATCTTGGGCACACACACACACACGTCCCGCGTGAGTTTTAAGCCCCTGGGTCCGGGATGTGAAGTGCAGTTGACTACGGGGGAGTCCAGCGACATAGCCATTACGCTAACTGCTGGTCCCACTACACTGACATTTTTAATACTTTCTAAATATGCTCTAATAAATCTTGGCTCTTGTCTATTAACATTTGTATTTCATTTAAAAAAAGTTTTTTATTTATATATTTATTTGTTATTCTTGTTTATTTTTTAATGTGACCAGAGAAAGAAAGAGTGAGAAAACAAGCTGCTGGGTTGTTTTCTTTCAGGACTTAAACCATGGTCAGCCATGTGGGTCACCCCACTAGCACATCACTTGCCGGGCCCTTAACATAAGTATTTCTGCTTCTGAAATGTTCTTTCATCACTCCTACAAAGTCCTATTCAGTCCTATGTTGACCCAGATCAACATAGCATCCTACTTGAAGTGTCACCTAACTTCAGTCTTCCCTTTTCTGTGTTCATATAGCACCTGAGAATGCAGTTATTTGATGTCTACCTACATGACTGTAAGCTACTTAAAGGTCAGGGTCATATTTCATCTATCTTTTTGAAGGCTGTGTCTGATATGGTAGATAGATGCTCAGTAAATGGCTTCAGAAAAAATGAATTAATGATTGATTCATACAAATTATTTAAAAGAACTTTAGTGTTTTCAAATGTAGATCAAGTGTTGAAACAGATGGTCTAAATTCTTTTCAGTTATAAAACTACAGATCTAGGTGAAATATTAGTATGCTTTAACTAAAAATAGCAATATTTTTTCTTGTATTTATAAATAATCCCCTAAAACTTTGATAAGGCTAAAAAGTACCTCTGAATGATAGACTGCCTCCTGTGAAACCAGTAATTCCTGGTTTTGTTTAGCAAGAAGAGAAAGAATTGCATCTGTATGAAATTTCTTACAGGGCATCCTAATCACTTGTCCTTCACTGAGAGGATCATCTTCCTAAAAGAAACAAAATGATAATTAATACCACAAAAAACCTTTACCCAACAATTGCATTTTTCTCTATGGTTAATGAGAACATAGTAGCCATCAAATGATGACACTAGCATTTTTTGGAAAGAAGAGGAACTCTTTATTTTCATTAATTCTCATGTCCATTTGACTATAATAAAACCCTTTATATCTGTTTTAAATATAAACAGCAACATAAATTTGCTAAAATCCAGAGATTTATTGTAAAAGTATGAAAATTGGACTTTCTGTCCCATGATACTGAATTACAGTTATTCATATGTTTTATACAATATCATCAAGTTTTTGGCTCATGGAGCTTCCTGCTTCAAATTTATGTACAAAGCAATGCCAAAGTGTGGCGATGTGGGTGGGCAAAGCACTATAGGACTACCACAAGCAAAAAGGAAAATCTGCAGATACATGTTATGGAACCTAGTGGTTCTCCATGTCCCTTTGTCTTGGTGCCAACATCTAGCTTACTTGACCAGGGAGCAGATTCTGAAAGCCCCCATGGGGCACACTGCATAGAGAGGCTTTTATGAGCCTCAAAGTAGGCCTGTCTCAAAAATGAGAGACAGTGTGGGCCCTGGTCACCCAAACGAAATACTCATAAATACAGGTATTAACATGATTTTAAAATTTATTAAAAGTATTTTTAATTATTTATTTTTTTTAATTATTTTTAAATTTATTTATACTAATCAAATATCTCTCCAGTGTACAGTATTTCTTTTTCCAGAATGAATACGTTGCATATCATTCAATACAAAGATACTACTATATACATTATCATCAGCAAATAGCTTCTCCTTTTTTGTCAATTAGACATACTTTTACTTTTTTTTCCTTTCCCTTCCCCCTCTTTTCCTTCCATATTAAACTTCTTTTCATTTTACTGATTCACAAAAGGTCTTAATTAAACTAAAAATATAGGCAAAGTTAAAATCAAGTGACAAGTGCACTGCAATTTTCTTCTGAGGTATTTTTTTCTCTCTCCATTTTCCCTTTTGCTAAAGAGAGGTATAAACTAACTTACTTGCAAAAAAATACATAAGTTTAGTCTCAATTAGGTCTGTTATTTGCCCAAAGCCCCATAAGAATTCAATTTCTGAGGCATGGCAATAGATATTACTATATTATTGAACTTATGCTAATAATCATTCTGCCACAAAATAAGAATGCTCAAAAATATTTTCCATTTTTAGAGGGTTTAGGAAGACAGAAAAGTTTATGGTTCAATAAAAAAAATTTTTTTTAAATTGCTAAACCTACCAACAACTCAAAAGAAAACAAAAATCCTTAAATGTAGAAGACAAAGCATGGAAGAAAATCAGTAATGTTTCGGTCAAAAGTCATGGAATTCTATTTCGCCAGTTCAGTCTCACGTAATTAATCTCTCTTCTGTTGAATTCACGCTGTTACTGTGATCTGATCATTCTATTTAAATGTTTAAATCCTCGAAGTTAACATTCAACATTATTATTGATATTTCTGGACTAGTCCCTATCATTAAGTTGACCATTATCTTAGTCTTTTTTTGTTCTCTTATTTCGGCCTGTCTTTAGTGTTCCTGGTATTTATTTGCTTTTAATAATTGCCAGAGGGCATGTGGGCCCACCAAAGAGAGACACTGGGGTGTGGACAATCCCTTCTCCATTTCTATATCCTGGGGCATGCAGGTACATATGCATCCATTGTGTTTTTCAAGTCAATGGAGCCAGGATTCGAACTATGGTCAGTTACATGGGATGTGGCTCTTCAAACTATCAGGCTTCAAGGCCAGCCCTATTTTATTTTTAATGAAATAGTTTACTTAATTTTGGATCATAAATACATATCCCTGAACTACATAGATAAATGACTACTGGTACATGACTTTGAAGTTATTCTGAGTTTTACCAGATTATATATCTGCATTTGACTTTATTGTAAATTTGTAACATATCTGATTTAGGCATAGTAAAAAAATGTCAATCTTAGAATTTAGTTTCAAATGTAAAAAAAGAAAACATTACGTCAATAATTTAGTCCTAGTCCAAGTTAGCTAATTTAAGGAAACTTAAACATGCTTTGGCAGCTAATAAAGTTCTAAGAATAGACAGAAATACTATAATGGCACATTAAAGAGGCCAAACATTAGTATACTGCTTCTTCTGAAAACAAAGGCATCTCATTTATACCTTAGTCACAAATCGTTTCATAAGAGACAGCACTCTTTTCTCAACTGATTAAACAAATAAATTACAATAATCACTGTCAAAAAATTAATTTTCAGAACAGCAGGTGGCGTGGTGGGTAGGGCACTGGATCCCACATGGCCAAATCTGTGGTTTGAGGCCTCAACTGGGTGTCTTGAAAAACACACTGGACACATGTGCATGCATGTCTCTGTCTCTCCTCCATAACTGTATGTACTCTATAGCAAAAAAAAAAAAAAAAAAAGAACTTTTCTAGGGGCTAGCAGGTGGTATGGTGGTTAAGGTGTTGGACCTCCCACATGGTTGACCATGGTCTGACTTCCAGACCTGGCAGCTTGGTTTCTCACTTTACCTTTCTCTCTCTATCTCTTTCTGGGGCACATGTGCCCTATAGCAAATTAATAAATAATAAGTAAAATTAAATAATTTTTTTGAAAAAGAAAAATTAATTTTTCTCTTAAAATTGTATCAAAAACTGCTTAATAAGAGCCAGCAGGTCACATAGTGATTAAGGTGCTAGATCCCACGTGGTTGACTCTGTGGTTTCCAGTCCCAAACCTGGAGGCTTGAAAAACACATCAGACACATGTGTGTGTGCCCAAAATCTCAAGAGAAAAATGGAGGAGAAGGAATTACGGCATGGGTATTCCCCCAGGAGGGCGATTTCTCACTTTCCCTCTCTCTCTGTCTCTCTCCTGCAAGCCCATGCATCCTATGGAAAAAAAAAAAAATCTTAAAAACTCTTTCACATTCCTGCGTAAATTTAAAAAAATAATAAAACAGCAACGTCAGAGCCAGCCCTATAGCATAGCAGTTAAGGGACCTGGATCCTACATGGCCAATCACAGTTTGAATCTCTGCCCTGGTAGCATAAAAACATACCAGGTACAAATAAGTATGTGCCTCAAATCCCAATAGGATAGAGAAGGGACTGTGGAGTGACCACATCTCATTTCTTTCTCTCTCTCTCTCTCTCTGGCGAGCACATGAGCCCTCTGGCAATTCAAAGAAAACAGCGACAGTAACAGCAATGCTTAGCAAAGGACATAGATAAAAATAGAAGATAGCTGAATGTAATTCAATCAGAGATACCCTCCCATACATCCATATTTTAAAAGTATATTTCAGGGGCTGTCAGGTAGCATGGTGGTTAAGGGCCCTGGACTACCACATGGTCAACTGCGGTTTGAGTTCCAGGCCTGACAGCTTGCTTTCTCACTACCACCCCCCCCATACATACACACACACACACACACACACACACACACACACAACTGCTCTCTGGTCAAATTTAAATAAAGAAAGAAAGTTAAATAGAAAACAATTCTATACAAAAAAAGAAGTATATTCCAACTCAGTAATTATATTTTTAGGCATATATTTTAAGAAAGTTATCAGATAAATGCACAAAGATATCATACGGGCAAGAATGGCCATTAGGGAGTGGTAGGTATCCAGTCTGGAAGCACTAGTAACAATGATCTATTCTTTTTTCTTCTTTTTTTTTTTTCTTTCTTTCTCTCTCTCTCTTTTGTGTGTGTGTGTGTGTGTGTGTGTGTGTGTGTGGTACAGGGAGCATGTACTCTTCAGAGATAGAGACACAGAGAGAGAAAGTGAGAAATTACTTCCCAGGAGGAAACAGGAAATGGCCACACCACAATCCCTTCTCCTCTATTCCCTACTCAGAATACTGGGAATGCACACACATGCACCTGGCATGTTTTTCAAATTGCTAAATGGGGGACTCAAACCATGTGGTCAGCCATGTGGGATCCAGCCACATTAACCACCATGCCACTTTCTACCCAACAGTACTCTTTTAATTTTCAGTCGTAATAAGATCACATAATGAAAGGTACAAGAAACCTTAAATTCATGAGTATTTTATTAAATTTGATGCCTACAATTCAAATAATCGAGAAAAGAACCTGATCAATGCCAAGTTCATCAAGATCTGCTTCCTGTTAAAATCATTGGAGTTCATCAATCCTTACCATGTCAAGGGCATCGTGCAGAGTGCTGGATAAGCTATCATTTAGGTTTGTAAGACATAGTCCTCCACCTCCTAAAACTAGAAGTAAAAATGTAAGAATTTAGAAAGAAGAATAATCATAAACTTCGTAAATAATCTGACCACAAAACAATAGAACATTAAGCTTAAACTTATACTGCAGTAGAAAAACTGGCAAAGTTCATATATAAGTAATTTACAAACTACTCAATCTGATCAGTTTTTTACAAAGTACAATTCATTACAAAGATTAGATTTTTATTTCATCTACCAGTTTGTCAGAAAGTTTAAAAAACTAAAAATATCAATAGCAGCTATGAAATTGAGAAATGGGCACGCCTATAAACTGTTGATATAATTAAAAACCAATTATGGGACCAGTGAGTGGAGTAATGATTACATTGCTGGACTCCCATGTAGTCGACTGTGGTTCAAGTCCAGGACCCAGAGACTTAAAACTCATACCAGGCACATGTGAGAGTGTGCCCAGAATCCTGAGAGAACAGAGGAAAAGGGATTACGGCGTGGCCATCCCCTCAGGGGGTGATTTCTCACTTTCTGTCTCTTGGAAAAGCACACATGTACTACAAAAAAAAAAAAAAAGAAAGAAAAAATAATTACAATGAAAGGTTGATTAACTGTTCCAGAAACCATGTTTGCAATTTATCCAACTTTTAAGGTATATTCCAACTCAGTAATTCCATTTCTAGGTATGTATTTTTAAAATATTTATTTTATTTCACTTTATTTATTTATTTTTAATTTGACCACAGAGGAATAGAGCAAAAGCGAGAGAGATACAGAGAGAGAGAGAAAGCAAGCTGCCAGGACCGGGACTCCCATGTGGGAGCCCAGTGCCCTTAACCACCATGCCACTTGCCAGTCCCTCTAGGTATGTATTTTAAGAAAGTTATCAGATAAGTGCACGAAGATATACATATGGGCAAAAATGACCATGACAGAGTTGTGTGTAATCTGAAAACAATGTAAGTGCCCTCATTAAAGCACTGTTGAAATATACTGCATACCCATTAAAACAAAAAGACAGACAGACCTATATGTATTGACACTGAAATATATTTATAATATACTATTAGGTAAAAAAAAATTCAGGTTTCAAATCAATATACATAGTATGAGCTTATTTTAAAATGTAAACATGGGAACCAGCAGTTAGCGTAATGGCTATATCGCTGGACTCCCACGTAGTCAACCGCGGTTCGCGTCCCAGATCCGGTGGCTTAAAACTCACGCCAGGCACGTGTGTGTGCGCGTGCCCAAGATCCCGAGAGGAGAATGGAGGAGAAGGGATTGCGGCGTGACCACCCCCTCTGGGGGGTGATTTCTTGCTTTCTGTCTCTATGTCTCTCTCTCTCTCTGTCTGGCGAGCACACGTGCCCTACAGCAAAAACCTCTCAAAAAAAAAAAAAAAAAAGTAAATGTGTGTGTGTGTGTGTATTAAGGTGTCTATATATCCATACACTATAAAAGACTTGGAGACTATCTCTCAAACTAGTGATATTATTTCTGGAAGATAGATTATGAGGGATTTTACTCTCTAAAATCAAGGCCTAAAATAGTTATAACTAAGTTAACTAACTTGCATAGGACTCCTACCTAGTCTTTCTAATAGATGATGTTAAAGCTTGAAAATTAAGTAAAAACACTTTTTTTTTTTTAAGAGAGATTTTTGCTATAAAGCATGTGTGCTCACCAGAAAGAAAGTGAGAAAACAATCCCCAGGGAAGATGGCCATACCGCAATCCCTTCTTCATTCTACTCTTGGGACCCTGGGCACACACGCACATGCACCGGGCCTGAGTTTAAAGCCACTGGGTCTGGGACTTGAACCATGATCAACTAATACGGGAATCCAACAATGTAACCATTACACCATCTGCTAGTCCCAAGTAAAAACACTTTAAACATGGACCAGCAGGTGACATGGAGGTTAAGGTGGCTGGATCCCACATAGCGGATTGCATGGTTGGAGTCTTGGACCTGGCAGCTTAAAAATCATGCCAGGTACATCTGCATGTGTGCCAAAATAATATACAAAAAGGAAAAACAGAAAAGGGACTGTGGCCTGGTCATCCCCTCTGGGGAGTGATTTCTCACTTTCTCTCCTCTCTCACACTCTGTCTCTCTCAGGTGGGTGCATACGCCCTGTAACAAAAACTAAAAAAACAAAAAACAAAAAAAATGCCGGATACATATGCATGCGTGCCCAAAATCCTGACAAGAGATGGAAAAGGGACTGCAGCATGGCCATCCCCCCTGGGGGATGATTTCTCACATTCTCTCTCTCTCTCTCTCTCTCTCTCTCTATCTATCATTAAGCAACATGCCTGATAGCAACTATATATAAAAGAAACAAAAACACTTTAAATACAAAGTTATCACTTAAGCAATTATCATAATCTGATCAGTAAAAGAAATGAATACAAATTAACTTACTCTTGGGAACCGATTTTTGACCGCTAAATAAAACCTCCCCTTCAGAGATGGGCCGATCTAGTGTTTCCGTATCAGTGACAGTAGTGTTTGAGGTGCTCTCCAGTGTGGATGACTCTGAACTTGGCATCTGTAAGGGGGAGGCAACTTTGGTGGTAGCAGGAAGAGGCATATCGGGAACTTGTTCTGGAGGTGCTGGTTGAACAGGGAAATCCAAACTCTCAGGTTCTTCATCCTTAGCCACAGACATGACTCTAAGAAGATAAAGACATATTTGAACTTAAGTCACTGAATGCCAATATTATATTATATTATAATTTAATAATATTGAAATATATCTACAATATGATATTATGTTAAAAAAATTAGGTTTCAAATCAATATACACAATATGATATAAAAATAGATTCAAAGGTATAACATCTCTTTTAGCAAAGTATTTCCTATAATCTACATTACCATAATTAATTAATAAAATTTATTTTTCTAAAATTCTCATGGTTTTATCACAGATCATCTTGAAAGCTCTTTTAGCCATAAAATAAATCAACTGGGGATATGTAATAATACAGATGTTGACTGATCATAGTAAGTAATCTATACTAAGAAAAAATTGTTTTCTACTTTATAATGGTGTGAAAGTGATATGTACCCTCACCAGAGACAGAAAGAGAGAGAAAGCATTCGCCAATGGAGAGTGGCTAAGCCATAAACTCTACTCCTCAATTTCCAACCTATCAAGACTTTTAGCATGCACAACATAAGTCCAGCATGGTTTATCAAGCCACTGGAGCCAGGTTTCAAACCATGGTCGGCCATGTGGGATCCAGCTCCCTTAACCACTAGACTATAACACCAGTCCAATAAAAAAAAATTTTTTTTTTTTTGGAGAGATTTTCACTGTAGGGCGCGTGCGCTCGCCAGCCAGAGAGAGACATAGAGACAGAAAGTGAGAAATCACCCCCCAGAGGGGATGGTCACGCCGCAATCCCTTCTCCTCCAGTCTCCTCTTGGGATCTTGGGCACACACGCACACGCGCCCGGCGTGAGTTTTAAGCCACCGGGTCCGGGACGTGAACCGCGGTCGACTACATGGGAGTCCAGCAACATAGCCATTACGCTAACTGCTGGTCCCCCAATAAAAATTTTTTAAGAACTTAAAATTCATGAAACTTTCTTCTAAAGTGTAGACTAGCTTGTGGTTTATAATGCTTATCTTTTTTTTTTTGGAGAGATTTTCACTGTAGGGCGCGTGCGCTCGCCAGACAGAGAGAGACATAGAGACAGAAAGTGAGAAATCACCCCCCAGAGGGGATGGTCACGCCGCAATCCCTTCTCCTCCATTCTCCTCTCGGGATCTTGGGCACGCACGCACACGCGCCCGGCGTGAGTTTTAAGCCACCGGGTCCGGGACACGAACCGCGGTCGACTACGTGGGAGTCCAGCGACATAGCCATTACGCTAACTGCTGGTTCCCTATAATGCTTATCTTTTCCTTGTTTTCAGTGGGTCACATAAATCAAACAAGTAGGAATAATATATAGTAAGAGTGAACATTTTCTCATTTACATAGCTCTCGGGTGAAGCAGCTCTTCTTGAGGAGGAGAATTAGGATTCTCTTCTTCCAGGGGCAGGTCTCCATCCTCCCATGGCTTAGGAACCCCTGGGCTGGATATTTTCAATTTATCCATGGAAATCTCTGATAAAGTTGGTGTAAGAGCCACTGCCGGAGGAGGTGTAGTAACAGGAGTAACTGTTGGAGTATTAACAAGCATGATGGTGGGCATATCATTTCCTAAATTTTTTTTTTAGAAAAAGAAAAAGACAGAAGTCAGTAACAACTCCACAGTAAGGCAAGATACGTTCCTTCAGACATCACTTAATGTTTTGGTATATAAATAATGGCAATAAGAATGATGATGGTGGGGGCCAGCAGGTGGCATGGTGGTTAAGGCAGCTGGACACTCACATGGCTGACTGCAGTTTGAGTCCTGGAGCTGGCAGCTTCCTTTCTCATTTTCCTTCTCTCTCACTGTCTCTGGTCAACTTCAAACAAATAAAATATAAGATAATGACAATGAATAAAATTAAATAAAAAGTAATTCTTTAAAAAAAAGAGTGATGGGACCAGCAGTTAGCATAATGGCTATGTCGCTGGACTCCCATGTAGTTGACCACGGTTCGCGTCCTGGACCCGGTGACTTAGAACTCACGCCAGGCGTGTGTGCATGTGCCCAAGATCCCGAGAGGAGAATGGAGGAGAAGGGATTGCGGCGTGACCATCCCCCCTGGGGGGTGATTTCTCGCTTTCTGTCTGTCTCTCTCTGTCTGGTGAGCGCATGTGCCCTATAGCAAAAACCTCTCCAAAAAAAGAAAGAAAAAAAAAAAAGAGTGATGATGGTTATGGCTATAGCGAGAAAATTACTAAATTAATCTAGTAAAGCATATTAATTTAGGAATTAAATAAACTGGAAAGACATCACATTTAATACCACCATATACTTAAAGTAGTCTGTCCATTAGATTATTAAATATCCCTTTTTTTCTTTTTTCTTTTCTTTTTCTTTTTACTTTGCTATAGGGCACTTGTGCTCACCAGAGAGAGATAGGGAGACAGAGGAAGCAAGAGAAATCGCCCCTACAGAAATTAGTCATACTGCAATCCTTTCTCTTCCATTCTCCTCTTGGGATTTTGGGCATGCATGCACATGCGCACAGCGAGATTTTTAAGCTGCCGAGTCCAGGAAATGTGCCAGCTAGCCATGTGGGGTCTGGCTGTCTTAACCTCCAAGCCACCAGCTGTCCTCAGATTACATACTTTTTAAGAAGTGGAGGACCAGCAAGTTGCAGGTGATTAAGGCTCTGAATTCCCACATAGCCAACAATGGTTTAAGTTCTAGACCTAGTGGCTTGAATATTGCCCTGGGCACACATGCATGCATACCCAAAATCCCAGGAGTAAAGTGGAGAAGGGGCTGCAGCATAGCCATCCCACTTAAGGGAGGGGGGTCATTTCTTACTTTCCCCTCTCTCTGGTGAATGGACACTTCATGAGGCAAAAGCTTAAAAAACAAACAAAGAAAAAAGGAAGGGAGGTTCAGCCTGGTGGTACAGTCAGTAGCAAACTGAACTGCAGTGCCTGAAGCCACCTGACTAATGTGGGTTCAGATTCCTGGGTCAGCCTGAAAACACAGCAGGAACAAGAGTATGTGTCCCAGGTCTGACAAGGTGGAGGGCTGAGAGAAGGAGATCGCAGCATACTATGAGAGTGCTTTTTTCTTTCTCTACCATGCATTCACATGCTATCGTGAATAAAAATAAAATTAAAATAAAAAAGTAAAAAGTGGCAATCAATTTCTTCATTTTCTTGCAAGGAAAAACAATTTACTGAAACCTAGTAAAGCAACAGATATATATCTATAAAACATATGAAACAAATGATGAAACTAGGTGTTAACATTAAAAGTGAATCATAGAAATAAGGTTTCAGGACTAGCAGACAACATAGTGGTTACATCACTGGACTCCCACATAGTTGACCACGGTTCGAGTCCCAGACCCAGAAACTTAAAAAAAACTCATGCTGGGTGCATGTGCATGCATGCCCAAAATCGTGAGAGGAGAATGGAGGAGAAGGGATTATGGCCTGGCCATTCCCCCGGGGAGTGATTTCTCGTTTTTTGTCTCTCTGGCAAATGCATACTCCCTATAGCAAAAAATCTTTCTAAACACACACACACATGAAAACAAAAACAAATAAGGTTTTTACCTTTTTCAGCAAGTATTTCTTTCACAGGGAGAGCCACATCGTGATCTGAATCAGAGGGAGAAGAATTTGGAGTTTTTACCAATATATGCTCCTTAAGAGGCGACAGAGGTGAGAGAGGAGGAGTAGGCTGTGGAGTGGTCACTGGGGTACACATTCTTGCCTGAAATAAAGTAGCAAAATAAGATCAATGGTGCTTATTATTATCCAAGTAATGGTAACCTGAAACTGTATGAGTTCATTCAGAGACTATGTAGAATTTAAGTAAGGGCCCACAAGTGGCATAGTGGTTAAGACCATTAGATCCCACATGGCCAACAGCGCAGTCAGTTCCAAACCTGGAAGCTTAGAAAATATGCCAGACACATGTACATGCACTTCCAAAATTTCAAGAGGAAAATGGAAGAGAAGGGACCACAGTGTGGCCACCCACTTGAGGGGTGATTTCTCCCCTCCCCCAATCTCTGTCAGGTGAGAGCAAGCACATACCCATAGCAAAAACAAACAAACAAAAAACTAAATAAAATAATAATAATAATAATAAAAGAAAAAATAAAAATACTAGGTTGTCAGAAAAGTCATCACATGTTTTTTTCTTCTTTTTTTTGGAGAGAGTTTTGCTATAGGGTGCGTGCTCTTGCCAGAAAGACAGAGAAACAGAAAGTGAGAAATCATCCCCCCCCCCCGGGGGGGTAGGGCTATGCCCAAATCCCTTCCCTCCCCATCCTCCTCTCAGGATCTTGGACATGCCTTCCAACCTCCTCTCAGGATCTTGGGCATGCACGTACACGTGCCCAGCGTGAGTTTAAGCCACTGGGTCCAGGGCTCGAACCGTGTTCAACCACATGGAAGTCCAGTGACATAGCCTTATGCTAACTGCTGGTCCCCTCATGACATGCTTTTTCTAAGTAAAAATGCATCATGACTTTCCTGGCAATCTAATAAATACATGGCAAAGTTAAAAAGAGAAAAGAGCCTTATGTACCCTGGCTACTGAATGTTTAACGTCTGTTAGTCTAAGATTGGCAAGCAGAAAACCTCAGGCAATTGTGAAATAACTCTGTTTCTGAAGCAGGTCCCAAAGAAATCTAAGCTACCCTCTTTGAATAGAGAGAGGAAGATTAAACAGATATTGCTGAAGATCAAACCCAACTATAAACTTGATCGGCCACGAAACAGAAAGGAAGCATTTTAGATGTCAAAAAATCAGTCTTTTAGCACAAAGAACAGAGCATATAAAAAACAACAGACAGATTTTTTAAAAAGTTGAGAGTGAGAAGTGATGGATACAATAGGAATGTGGAAAGTAATGGAAAAGGAAAAAGTGGAACATTTTAAAATTAACTTGTTGAATAGGTAATCCTTCAAATGATTCAAAATTTAAAAGCTAGGGATCCCAGCAGTTAGTGTAATGGCTATGTCGCTGGATTCCCACGTAGTCGACCGCGGTTCGTGTCCCGGACCCGGTGGCTTAAAACTCACGCCGGGCGCGTGTGCGTGCGTGCCCAAGATCCCGAGAGGAGAATGGAGGAGAAGGGATTGCGGCGTGACCATCCCCCCTGGGGGGTGATTTCTCGCTTTCTGTCTCTATGTCTCTCTCTGTCTGTCTGGCGAGCGCACGCGCCCTACAGTGAAAATCTCTCAAAAAAAAAAAATTTAAAAGCTATAAAAGGATAATAATAAAAATTAGGTCCTTTCTCCTATACATGTATTTTCTACCTAGTTCCCTTCCTCAGAGTTATCAAATAGTCTTGATGTAAGTCATTTCATGAACACACACACATCTATGGAACAAATACTCAGAAGAGAAACTGCTTGGTTAAATTAAAAGGCTGTGTTTTAAAACTGGATACTGTCAAATTTCCCTCTAAGGGATTGTACTATTTTATGCTATCACCAGAATGTATAAGAAAACAAAAGAGTGGGACCAGCAGATGGCGTAATGGTTATGGTGCTGGACTCCTACATGGTTGACTACGGTTTGAGTCCCCGACGCAGAGACTTGAAATTCAGGCCAGGTGCATGTGTGTACATGCCAAGCAACATACAAACAGTTTTTAAAGGATATATAATAAAAGATATAAAGACAGATTAAAAATTATGCCAAAATGAAATCAGCTGGTAAATATAAGTAAACAGTACAGAGATGTCCATTGCATCACACTTTCAACTTATCTATAGATTTAAAAATTTTTAAGGAGGCTGGCAGGTCGGGTGTGATGGTTGAGACACTGAACTCCCACATGGCTGACCAGAGTTTGAGTCCCACACCTAGTGGCTTGCTTTCTCACTTTCCCTTTCTCTCTCTCTCTGGCCAAATTAAAAAATAATAAGATGTGTGTGGGCACATGCCCAAACTCTTGAGAGGAGAATGGGAAAGGATTTGCTGGCCATTTCCTCTGGGGGGATAATTTCTGTTTCTTTCTCTCTTTCTCCCCAGGAGGCGCACACATCCTATAGCAAAAACAATAAACAAACAAATACATAACCTTTTTTTAAAATAAACAAATATGTCAAAAATCCCCCGGAACTCTACATCATAAAAGGAGAGTAGATCCTACCGGCAAGAATGTTTCATTTGTTGAAACATCTGTAACAACAGGAACTTGTTTCTTCACCTCTCCGTCACCCAACATAACCTCAATGGTTTCAGCAAGAGCTTCATTCACGAAATGGCTAATCATGTCGGAATTCACAGGAACTCCAGCATCAACAAAAAGCTTGAGGGCACGAGCACTTGTTCCTTCCACTTAAAAAAAAAAAGAAAGAAAGAAAGAAAAATTTTCAGAATAAATGGGAAATAAAGATACTTGCAAACCAAAACTTAATTACTCAAATTTTAGAAATGCAAATTTAAGTGTGTATGGAAAAGAGAAGAGTAAACACACATAACTATTAAAAAAGAGGGACCAGGGACCAGCAATTAGCATAATGGCTGTTGCTGAACTCCCATGTAGTCGACCACAATTCAAGTCCTGGACCCAGTGGCTTAAACTCACGCCGGGCGTATGTGTGTGTGTGCGTACGGGCCCAAGATCCTGAGAGGAGAATGGAGGAGAAGGGATTGCGGCGTGGCCATCCCCCCTGGGAGGTGATTTCTCGCTTTCTGTCTCTCTGTCTCTGTCTTTCTGGAGAGTGCATGCGCCCTATAGCAAAAACCTCTCCAAAAAAAAAAAAAGGCACCAGGATAATAACTTACCTAACCAATATCCTCTTCTAAACAAATCATAATGAAGGGGAAGATAAAAACTTACTTATATGGTCTCTTTTCTAATGCTAAAGAATTCAGTGATAAAAGGATTTGTATGGGGCCAGGCAGTGGCACAAGGGTAATGCTACAGGACTCACACGGAACTGAGAATACATCCTGGGAGCTCCCTGAGCATTCCAGGTATGCCTGCACGCACGTGATCCAGGCCGCTGAAGCTAGGAAGGGACTGTAGCATAAAAGCATAAAGACCTTTTCGGGGAGCCTGTCTCTGTTTCTCATTCCTACAAAAAATATAAATAAACAAACTCTTTTTAAAAAGGTGCCTAGCCATGACGGTACAAGTGACAGGGCTCCACTGTGTGACGGTATCATATGGAATGGTTCGGAGTTTAGGTTTTGGATCATTGGTTGACCTGAACATGCTGGGCACCCCCAAAGGCATGCCACGATCCTGGATGGCTGGAAGGCTGTGAGGGGAGGAAGGACTGTGGTGTAGCTGGACATCGTCAGTGTCTCTATCTCTCTCACTCCATTTGTCCCTCTCTCTTTCGTGAAAGAAATAAACAAACAAAATATTACACCCACATCAAATAGCCTTATCTGAAAACGGTCCACATTTCTAAGAGTATGGTCATAAGAAACCTTGTGATAGATCTTAATCAAAGCACAAGGAAGCAATAAATATGAAGGCAGGGTCGGCACTCTAGTACAACAGTTAAACACTGTCCAAAGGGATCAGGATTCCACATGACTTGACTGTGGTTTGAATCCCGGCCCTGGAAGCTTGAAAAACATGCTGGGCATATGCACACATGCCTAAGATTCTGAACAAATGTTAGAAAAGATTATAGTGTGACCAGGTCCCCCTGCTGGGGGGTAGAGGTTCTCTCTCTCTCTCTCTTTCTCTCTGTCTCTCTCATTAGCACAAAGGTACACTACTCTGGCATTAAAACAATATAAAGGCAAACATTATTAACATTCTAGACTAATCCTCCTCAAATCTATATCCAGTTTAGTGGCTTGTTATCGGATGATCCATAGGAATGTAAATCCCCAGATGGGTTGTACTTTCTCATTTATGTGAATGCACATAAAATTAAGTAATACTTGAGACTTCATTCACCTTAAGGGGTGATATTCACTTTAAGGGGTGATATTTCTAAAGCTCTTGTGGAACATATGTAAACAAGAAAATGAGATGAAAAATGACATGGACCCATAACGAAAGGGTTTTTGTTTGTTTGTTTTTGTTTTTTTTGAGAGGTGTTTGCCATAGGGCGCGTGCGCTCACCAGACAGACAAAGAGAGAGACAGAAAGCAAGAAATCACCCCCCAGGGTTTTTTTTTTTTCCTTTTTTAAGGTGTTTGCCATAGTGCACATGCACACACCAGAAAGAAAGAGAGAGGGAAAGTGAGAAACTACTCCCCCCCACCTCCCACCAAGGGGGATGGCCACACCACAATCCCTTCTCCTCCATTCTCCTCTTAGGACTTTGGACATGCATACACACATGCCTGCTGTGATTTTCAAGCTGCTGGGTCCAGGACTCAAACCATGGTCAGTCATGTGGGAGTCCAGCATCTTCACCACCACACCACCTGATGGCCCCTAAATAGGCTCTTTTAGCCATTCAATGAACACTCAACTCTTCTTAAGTGTCAGTCAAGGGCGAGGCAGTGAAGGAGAAACTTCATAACCCTTGAGTAATTTACATTCTAGAGGGTGAAATAGGTACAGAAATCAACCAAAACAATTACTATAACAAAAAAATATACACTGGGAACCAGCAGTTAGCGTAATGGCTATGTCGCTGGACTCCCACGTAGTCGACCGCGGTTCGTGTCCTGGACCCGGTGGCTTAAAACTCACGCCGGGCGCGTGTGCGTGCGTGCCCAAGATCCCGAGAGGAGAATGGAGGAGAAGGGATTGCGGCGTGACCATCCCCCCTGGGGGGTGATTTCTCGCTTTCTGTCTCTATGTCTCTCTCTGTCTGTCTGGCGAGCGCACGCGCCCTACAGTGAAAATCTCTCCAAAAAAAAAAAAATATACAAAGCACCATGGAAATAATAGATTTAGGGTGGGAAGGATGGAGAATGATTTAATAATCTGAAAGCTGCAATGTGAAATGAGGGGGCTGAGGTAGAACTTACCTGCACTACAGAGAACTATGAGGAAGTGAGATGGAAAGCAAGAACTTATCTTTTGTCAAGTAAAGACTTACTTGACCCCTAGACTACACAAGTCCACAATAAACTAAAGGTTTTGTCTTTTCACAACAAAAATAACAAAAGATTCCATTTCACCTACCAACATCTGAAGTCAATGGTTCACTTGCCTCGCTGACTGAAACACTGACATTCGTTATAGCCTGTTGTTGGACTGGAAAGAGTCCAGAAATAATTCTTGACATTATTTCTTGTTCTACCCTAGGGGGGAATAAAATTGAAGAATTCCTAAATATGATTGAAATGTATAAAATGTTAGACATATCACCCTTGAATATAATCCATGGGCACAGACATTTACATGTGAAAGTACTTATCTTGAAAGTTAAATCTGGAAAGAGAAACAAATAGTAAAACTTATCTCTTAACAAGATAAAGCACAGGAAACACAATCTGTGTAGGAGGCAGTTCATAAAATCAAATTAAAATATTTCAGATTAATCTAATGGAAAGTTAACAAAAGTCCCAAATTCAAAATAAGATTTGGGCTAATGATTATCTGGCAAATTGATAACTTGAAATGTCTGATTCCAGCTCTGAGAGCACATGTATAAAACCATACAGAAAAAGAAGTCCAGCCCCAGTCAGTGGTGTGGTAGTTAAGGTAGTAAGATCCTACATGGCTGACTGGGTGGTTCGATTCTCAGACCTGGCAGCTTGAAAAACATGCCACATGTGTGTGCATGTATGCCCAAAATCCTGAGAGGAGAATGGAGGAGAAGGGAGTGCAGTGTGGCCTTACCCCAGTAGGTACTTTCTCATTTTCTCTCTCTGTCTGTCTCTGGGAAATATGCATGCCCTACTGCAAACTCAAAAAAAAAAAAAACCAACACAGAAGTTGTCCAGCTGACCTCTTCAAGGGAATACATATATAGGTCAAGATGCAGAGTATTTTTCTTGTTAAAAAGGAAAGAAAAAGGTTATTTCCAAGCTCATTTTAAGGAAAGAGAGAAAGAGTAAAAAAAAAAAAAAAAAAAAAAAAAAAATTAAACCTTCTGTTAATTTCTTTTTTTTTTTTTTTTTGAGGAGAGGCTTTTGAGATAGGGCGTGTATGCTCATCAGAAAGACAGAGAAAAACAGAGAGATAGAAAGCGAGAAATCACCCCACAGGGTAGATGGCCACACCACAATCCCTTCTCCTCCATTCTCCTCTTGGGATCTTGGGCGGGCATGCACATGCGCCCGGCATGAGTTTAAGCCGCCAGGTCCAGGACTCAAACCGCAGTCGGCTACATGGGGGTTCAGCGACATAGCCATTATGCTAACTGCTGGTCCCTTCTGTTACATTTCTTTAGAGTAGCTAATAGTATAATAGTTTTATCACTGGACTCCCACGTAGTCGACCATGGTTCGAGTCCTGGACCCAGCAGCTTAAAACTCATGCTGGGCACATGTGCATGCATGCCCAAAATCCCAAGAGGAGAATGGAGGAGAAGGGATTGTGGCATGGCCGTGCCCCCTGTGGGGGATCACTTCTCAAGAGCTGTCTCTCTGTCTCTGGCAAGCACACATGTCCTATAGCAAAAATATCTCAAGAAAAAAAAATTATGGGACCAACAGAAGGCATAATGGTTACATCACTGGACTCCCATGTAGTTGACCACGGTTCAACTCCTGGACCCAGAGGCTTAAAACTCACACCAGGCACATGTGCATGTGTGCCTAAAATCTAGAGAGGAGAAGGGATTGTGGCATGGCCATCCCCCTGGAGGGTGATTTCTCACTGTCTGTCTCTCTGTCTCTCTCTGTCTCTCTGGCAAACACATGTGCCCTATAGCAAAAATCTCTCAAAACAATTATTATTATACAAATAATATATATGAAAATACATAGTTTTTTTTTTTTTTTTTTTCTTTTTTTTTTTTTTTTTTGGCCATAGGGTGCATATGCTTGCATAGAGACACAGAGAAAGAGAGACAAAGAGGGAAAGTGAGAAATTAGCCCCCATGTGGATAGCTACACCCCAATCCACTATCCTCTTGGGATTTTAGGCACACACACATGCACAAGTGTCCAGTGTCTTTTTCAAGCCACTGGGTACAGGACTGGAACTACACAGCGGGCCATGCGGGATATCACCACACCACCTCTGGTTCCACATAAAGGTTTTTTTTTTTTTTAAGTTGAAAATGCTCACCCATAATCCTAGATTCAGGTATAAAAATGAATATAATTTAGTATGTATGCATTTCAAACTTTTGCTCAATGTACATTTATTCTGGAATAATCTTGTAAAGTGGGGTTATATTATTACTATTATCCTGTTTTGTTTATGTAACAGTATATTAATATCTTTCAACATCACTATTCTTCTAAGCCTAAGTTTAGTAACTCTATTAATATTTACTTGTTTAGTTTGTTCCAGAACATCCTTAAGGTTTCTCACAAATAAAAATAGGGATAATAATACAGTTATTTTATATTCCTGTGCAATTTGTAGAAAAATCTTATTGTTGTAAGTATATGACAAACTTAATTCGTTCTTTGCAGTGCTAGCTATTTTATGGCCTTGTAGCAGAGCCATAATTATCATCTTAGAATACATTTCCACAAGTGAATCACTGGGTTAAAGAAATGTACATTTTGGGGCCAGCCCCATGACCTAGAGGCTAAGGGAGCCAGATCCCACATGGCAGATGATGCAGTTGGAATGCTGGTCCGGGTGGCTTGAAAAACACACCAGGCATGTGTGCAAGAATGCCCCAAATGGAGAAGTGGTGGAGAAGGGACCGTGGTGTGACTACGCCCACGGAGGTGTAGTCACACCACGGGGGGAGAAGTACTTTCTTCCTCTCTCTTTCTCTGTGTCTCTCTGACAAGCACACATACACTCTGACAATTAAAAAAACAAAGAACATGTACATTTTTGACCCTTCTGTTTATTAATGGTCTCTTTTACCGCAATAGACAGCCTAAGTACAAATATTCAAGGACAGGAACAATACCTTTAACAACCAGCTAAGCCTTGTATCAGTTTCCAGGGACTACAGCAAAGTAATGGCTTAACAAACAAAAGACAAGGCAGACTTTTGACAAAAATGAAATAACTTTCCATTTATATTTCTACTATGATTCTATTCATACCAACCTCAATGTAAACTCACCATTGAATTAAGCTATTTTCCAATGTTTCTTTTCTCTTGATTACTTTGTCAAGAATATCAGTAGTGGGTTGAAAGGAAGAAGCAACTGGTGGAAATGGAGGACCATTATATTTTGTAGGAACAACTTCGATATTTCTGTTAAACTCCAAAACTGGTTCAGAGGATTCTGGGATTTCATCACACTTTTCCTCTTCCTGGTAATAATAAAAGCAAAACTTTTATAGTCATGTATCTGTTTGACATTTACTGGGTGCCAACTATAGACAAGAATCTGAGGTGGTGAATTAAACATCACTTCTATATTAATAAACACCACTTCTTAATATGTAGACTCACAGTCATTATAACACACACGGTCCACAAATGTACACTGAAGATGCCAGCTTATCTTTTTAAAACCCGCTATTCATTTTATACAGTCATAAAACAAATTAGAAGACTTGATTGTTTCTGCATAAAACATTACTGACATTTTCCTCTAGAAATTTATGGACTTATTATCATAAAAAAAAATAACACTGATGGCTCTACATCATCACTTTTGCTCTTATAGGACATATACTGTACATTTATATATGCATTTAGGGGGACCAGCAGTTGGCGTAATGGCTATGTCGCCGAACTCCCACGTAGTCGACCGTGGTTCACGTCCCGGACCTGGTGGCTTAAACTCACGCCAGGCGCCTGTGCATGCATGCCCAAGATCCCGAGAGGAGAATGGAGGAGAAGGGATTGCGGCGTGGTCATTCCCCCTGGGGGGTGATTTCTCGCTTTCTGTCTCTATGTCTTTCTCTGTCTGTCTGGCGAGCGCACGCGCCCTATAGCAAAAAAAAACCTCTCTAAATTCTACTGACGTATTAACATCAAGTAGTTTCTATTTTCTATAATAATTTCTCCCAACCTATATATCTTTCTTCACCTTATTTTTTTCCCTCTTTCTATTTCACTAATTTGATCATTTCTATAAATTGTCCTTCCACATGTGATCTTGCCTTGGATTTAAATTCCTCACTTTTTTGTCAGTACAAACTGTTTGCCTTCCCACTTCTCATGAATTCATAAATCAAATGAGATCAGTGTAACAGAATATAAAAAGAAGACTGGAGAGAGGGAAGCCAAAGGAAATAAAAAGGATAAAGAAAGAAGCAGGAGAGGTGAGATCTAGGAGGGAAACAGCAATCATTAAGTTCCATGGAGGCAGTTGGGTGACACAGATGAAGATACTCTATTATAGAATAGCAACTTTATACTTTTTAAAGATATACGTATATTGAACTCAAAAGCAAAGACAAGTTTCTCAAAGCACTATAATATTGATAGCAAAAGGTAAGCAAATGTTGGTAGAAAATAAACTTCTCATAATTTCTAAGCTTTGTTACCTGTATGATATCAACTACTTCATCGAAGTTAGTTCCTGGAAACTTCACCTCTTCTTCATCTATATTCATAAATTCTGGAGTCTGAAAAGCATTTTCAGAATGTTTTTACTGTGTTAATGTCTTTAAAATTTATATGATTTATCACATTTCCATTTATAGAATAAGCTTATAATAACATGATCTTAGATTTTATTTTAATATCCAATTCAGAATTGATTTAATTAGTGAGTGGAATCCACACTAGTCCCCAAGCGATTAGGTCATCATCAAAATAGCTATAAAAAGTAAGCATCAGTTATTCTGTCAAGGACTCCATCAACAATGCAGCTTAAGTTGATATGATTATGACTTCCTTCCTAGTAAGATAAAGAAACGAGCTTATATGTGTAGATATATAATTATATGCAAAAAAAAAACTCGCAAAAAGATTCAGAATCAAGTAATTTTTAAAAATAAACAAATAATAATTTTACAAATTTAACCTGTAGGCCACACCATAAATTCTTAGTCACCAAAAGCTACAATAGCCTCTTGAGAGCAGAATAATAAATGGTCCAAAAATGTATTATTTGTTTTCATTTATATTTCAATAAATATCTGATGAAAACTCACTGATTAAAAGTTAAATTAAGTACAAAGACCATTTAGAGTCAGTTCTATCTTATTATTCATGATCATGAGTGATTCTTGGTACTCTCCCTTTAAAACAGTATTCGTGGGGACCAACCAGCAGATGGCATAATGATTATGTTGCTGGACGACCATAGTCAACCGTGTTTCGAGTCCCAGACCTGCCAACCGAGAGGAGAATGGAGAAGAAGGGATTGCAGTGTGGCCATCCCCCCTGGGTGGTGACTTCTTATTTTCTATCTCTTTTTCTGTCTTTCCAGCAAGCATGTGCCCTATAGCAAAAACCTCTCTTAAAAAAAAAAAAAAAAAAAAAAAAAACTATATCCCCGATGACCAAATTTGCTATGACAGATGCAGCCTAGGATAAATTACAGTGCTATTTTACTGTATAGCAAAATCGAAACTTCACTATTCAGAAGAAAATCCCAGAAAGAAATGCATATTTCTGCATCATCTCAACATGAGAATGATAAATAGTATCCTAAAATATAACTTCAGTGTCACTACAAAATTCACACTCAGGAAATCTCTAATTCCCATGTAAATTAAAGATTCTTCACCAACAAAACAGGAATTTTGTCTTCACATAAAATTCTCACAACTTAAGTTACCAAAATGTTATATTAAGAATCATCGCTCTTAAGCCAGCCAGGAGGCGGGTAGTTAAGGTGACTGAATCCCACATGACTGAACCTGGTAGCTTGAAAAACACAGTGGGTGTGCAAGGCCAAAATCCCAAAAGGAGGGGCCAGCAGGTGGTGGTTAAGGGCGCTGGACTCTCACGTGGCCAACCGCAGTTCAAGTCTCGGACCTGGAAGCTTGCTTTCTCAGTTTCTCTCTCTCACTCTCTCTCACTCTGTCCCTGTCTGGTTAGTTAAATAGAGATAGAGATAGACATAAGAGAGAGAGAGAGAGACAGATAAAGTTAAATAAAATAATTCTTAAAAAAAAAAATTCCCAAGAGAAGAAAAGAACAGACTATGGCATGGTCATCTCTCCTGGTGAGTGATTTCTCACTTTCTTTCTCTCTCTTTCTTTCTCTCTCTCTGTTTCTCCCTCCCTTCCTTTCTTTCTGGTAAGTGCACGTGCCCTATAGCAAATAAAAAAGAAAAAAGATGGTGTGGAGATTGAGGCAGCTGGATCCCACATGGCTGGCTACATGGTTCAAGTCCTGGACCCAGTGGCTTGAAGATCATGCCAGGCACATGTGCATGCTTTTCCAAAATCCTGAGAGGAGAATGGAGAAGAAGGGATTACAGTATGGCCATCCCCCTGAGAAGGTGATTCTCATTCTCTCTCTCCAAGCACACAGGCCCTACATCAAACTAAAAAAAGGTGGTGGGGGGGACCACCAGATAGTGTAAGGACTCCCACATAGCTGACTGTGATTCAATTCCAGACTTATGCTGGGAGCATGTGCACGTGTGCCCAAAATCCTGAGAGGAGAATGGAAGAGAAAGGATTGTGGCATGGCTATCCTCACTGGGCCGGTGATTTCTCACTTTCTATCTGTCTCTCTCTCTGTCTCTCCAGTAAGCACATGCATCCTATAGCAAAAACCTCTCGTAAAAAAGAGAAAAAGAAAAAAAGAATTGCCATTCTCTAAATATTTATAAATGTAAGGATTTGAAACAAACATTTTAAAGTTCACAATCAATTCGATTAGTTTTGAATACTTTCCTCAAAAACTAATAGATTATGATTATTATACAAGGCTTTGAATTAATCAAAATCTATAGTCAGACATTAGGCAACACAATGATAAAGTGCTGAAACATACCTGAATCCAGTTTTTCAGAGGAGGAAGAGCTGCTTCTTTGGGACTAAGCAGAGGTGGACTGATGTCAGCACTACCATTTGAAATGCTGTCAATGTCTACATTTGGCAACACCTAAAAACAGAGCACAAGGGAACCAGCAGTTAGCGTAACGGCTATGTCGCTGGACTCCCACGTAGCCAACCGCGGTTCGTGTCCTGGACCCGGTGGCTTAAAACTCACGCCGGGCATGTGTGCATGCATGCCCAAGATCCCGAGAGGAGAATGGAGGAGAAGGGATTGCAGCGTGACCATCCCCCCTGGGGGTGATTTCTTGCTTTCTGTCTCTATGTCTCTCTCTGCCTGTCTGGAGCACGTGCCCTATAGTGAAAACCTCTCCAAAAAATAAAAAAAATAAAGTGGCCAGGGACCAGCAGTTAGCATAATGGCTATGTCGCTGGACTCCCATGTAGTCAACCGTGGTTCAAGTCCCGGACCCAGTGGCTTAAACTCATGCTGGGTGTGTGTGCATCCATGTCCCAGATCCCAAGAGGAGCATGGAGGAGAAGGGATTGCGGTGTGGCCACCCCCCCCGGAAGGGTGATTTCTCGCTTTCTGTCTCTCTGTCTCTCTCTGTCTGTCTGGTGAGTACATGCGCCCTATAGCAAAAACCTCTCCAAAAAATTTTTTTTAAAAAGTGGCCATGACAAAACCAATGTTTTCATGAAGCAATGTAAGGGATTTTAAGTACTAATGTTAGGCTGAAGTGTTTCTCCTGGAAATTTTCTGTTCATGTGCCGTGACATACCTGTACAGTAAGCCGAGGAGGATCCTTCTTTTCTGACTTCATTTCTACAACTGCTATGTTAGGTTTCTTTACCGCAGTTTCTATTTTCCGAGGTGATGGAGGAATAGAAGTAGTCACGGTGATTGGATGTGGCTTGTTTATAATCACTCCAGCAGGGGGCATGGACTCACTATTACTTTGGGTTTGTCCTAAGAATTTTAGGGAAGAAAATGAGTCAAGTATTTCAGAAGTAAACAGATGAATCTGATAAACTGCTAGGTATTTGTAGCTTTCTTTTACATGGAAAGAAAGCAGTACATGACAACCACTTCTCTTCCTTCATTACTGACAACACGCTGTGTTACCCTTTCAGCAGCAACAACATTATTAGGCACCTACATACGCTAAACACCTCATGCACACGCTCTAATCCTCAAAAAGAGGCAACCACAAATGTTAGCCACATTTTAAAACATGTCAAAAATTTGTTCGTTTTAACTTTTTTGCTGTTTTTTTAACTTTTGCAAATGGATACATGTACTTACCCAAGAGAGAAAGAGGGAGCGAGAGAAAATACCTCCCAATGAGTCATGCAGCAATTCCTTCTCCTTCTCATCTATCTTCTTGGGATTTAGGACACACACACACCCAGACGTTGTTCAATTTTTAACACGATAACTCAAGAGACCTCAAATAAGAAAACAGCCAACTATTTCCTTATAACTACAAGGCCGGCCAGGTGGCATGGTTAAAGTGGCTGGATCCCACATGGCCAACTGCAGTTTGAGTCCCAGAACTAGTGGCTTGAAAAAAAACACCAGGTATATGCGTGTATGCCCAAAATCCCGAGAAAAGAATGGAGGAGAAGGGATTGTGGCATGGCCATGCTCCCAGGGGAGATGATTTCTCACTTTCCTTCTTCCCCCTCCCCTCTAAAATCAACACAACCACATAACTTTTTACTTATCACACCTAGTTCTAAAGTACAAAAAAATTATTTAAGGGACCAGCAGGTGGCATAATGATTAAGGCACTGGACTCCGATATGGCCAACCACAATTCAAGCCCAAGATCTGATGGCTTAAAATTCACACGAGGCACACGTGCAAGAGTACCTAAATTCCCAAAAGGAGAATGGAGGAAAAGGGACTGCAGTGAGACCATCCCCCATGGGAGTAATTTTTCACCTTCCCTTTCACCGTCTGTGTCTCTCTCAAGCCTTATGGCAAAAACCTTAAAAAAAAGGAAAAAAAGTTCTTTGAAATACCACCCCTAAGGGCTACCTCTGTGGCCTGGTACTTTAATCAGTTGGAGCCCATATGACTGACCTCATGTATGAATCTGACCCAGGCAGCTTAAAAAGCATGCTAGGCACATGTTCATGCATGCCCAAAATCCCAAATCCCAACAAGGTAGAAAAACGAAGGAGAAGAATTGCAGCATAACCATACTGTTAGGAGTGAGTTCTCCATTTCTTTCTCTCTATGTCTGTCTCTCTCTTCAGTGAGTGTATGTGCCTCTAATAAATTAAAAAAAAAAAAAAAAAAAGGAACAAACCAACTAAATTTCTTGAATTCTTGAATTATTATGAATGTCTCTGGTATATCTAAACACTTTTCAAAAATTCAACTCATCTACAACAATGTTCTATAAAATAGTAGAAGAATGTTTCCTGTGAGTGAAACTAGAGCAGGGGGGCCAGCAGTGGAGTGGTGGTTAAGGCACTTGACTCCCACATGGCCAACTCTAGTTTGAGTCCCAGGCCTGGAGACTTAATTTTCTCACTTTCTCTCTCTCTTTGGTGACCACACATTCCCTATAGCAAATTTTAAAATACTAAATAAAGAAAGAAAAATAAACTGGAGCAGGATCCAACATTTCAAAGACTGCTATCACACAGCCTAAGATACATACTGAGGCCCTCCTCACATATATAAACAACACATATAGGGAATGGTAGGCAGTTATCATATCAGTTCTATTTTATAAATCCTGTTCCTGCTGCTAAGAAATTAAATTCTCCCTACATATTCTGTTGGTTCTTACCTAAAAGAATCGCCATAGGAATTAGATGACCTTCCAGTGTGCCTGAAAGAGTAGCCATTTCTCTGCTTGGACTAAACAAATACTGCTTATCACCATGAGGCAGTGCAGTAGCGGAATGCTGTACTTTAGAGTGCATCTTCGTAGGTTTTGTTGCATAAAAGTCAGTCTGTGTTCTTATTGACTTGACTTTAGTGCCTGCAATAAAAATCAATGACAGATATTTCAAAATACTGTTGAATATGTACTATCCAGCCACCTAGAATATACCAACTCTTCTTCACAGAAAGATCCCAGTCTATATTAGAAGGTGACAGGGCCCCAAAATAGAAGTAACATACAGAGCATAGGTTGTTGAAACCCTTTCAAGAATGTCCAGACAGTAAATATTAAGTCTTGTGGATATGTGGTCTCACTTGCAACTACTCAACTCTGAAGCTATATCATGAAAGCAGTCACAAGCATGGCTAGGTTTCTTTTTTTTTTGGGGGGGGGGAGAGATTTTTGCTATAGGGAGTGTGCGCTCACCAGAAAAACAGAGCAAGACAGAGAGACAGAAAGTGAGAAATCACCCCCTAGGAGGGATGACCACACCACAATCCCTTCTCCACTTGGGATCTTCAGCACACATGCACACAAGCCCGGTGTGAGTTTAAGCCACCGGGTCTGGGACTCAAACCACAGTCGGCTATATGGGAGTTCAGCAACATAGCCATTATGCCAACTGCTGGTTTTCAAGCATGGCTAGGTCTCAATAAAACTTTATTTTCAAAAACAGCCAACTCACCTCTAAACCATAATTCGCTTACCCTGAATATATGTGCAACTTGTATAATAACTATGATACAATGGGTACAATGACAAGAAACATGAACTAAATATTTACTAATGTGTTTGAATTCATTATTTATTTTTTTTCCCCACAGGTAGAAAAAAGTTAAAAATCATGGTCAGGGGCCAACAAGTAGTGTGGTGGCTGAGGCGCTGGACTCCCACATGGACAACCGCAGCTAGAGTCCCAAACCTGGCGGCTTGCTTTCTCACTCTCCCTCTCTCTGTCTTTTCCTGGTCAAATAGAAGAATGACAATAATATATAAAATTGGATGAGTGATTCTTAAAAAAAAAAAAAAAAGTCAGGGTCAGATGGTGGCACTGAGTGAATGCAATACTTCCAGGCTGACCAACATGGGAAGGTTCCAGGTTTATATTTGGAGACCTCCCTGCATATGATGGGCACGTGTTTGCCCAGATCCACAAACAGCTGAGGCTGAGGGTAAAGCACCATATGACCCTGTGGTAGGTACCTGTCTCTCTCATGAAAGAATTCTAAAAATGTTTAACTGTTCATGATTATTTTTTATAATTAGATTTTTTTTTCATTTTCTCATTACATCTTTATTTTTTTTCTTTTTTAAGAGAGATACGGGGCATGTGTGCTCACTGACAGAGAGAGACCAGCAGTTGGCATAATGGCTATGTCGCTGAACTCCCACGTAGTTGCCCACGGTTCGTGTCCTGGACCTGGTGGCTTAAACTCATGCTGGGCGCGTATGTGTGAGTGATCAAGATCCTGAGAAGAGATTGGAGGAGAAGGAATTGTGGCATGAACATCCACCCAGGAGGTGATCTCTCACTTTCTGTTTCTCTGTCTCCTTCTGGCGAGCACACGCACCCTATAACAAAAACCTCTTAAAAAAAAAAAATCACCTCCAGGAGGGATGGCCACACCACAATCCCATCTCCTCCATTCTCCTCTCAAGAGTCTGGGCATATACATATATGCACCCAGCCTGAGTTTTAAGCCGCCAGGTCCAGGACTCAAACCATGGTCAACTATGTGGGAGTCCAGAGACATAACCATTACACTATCCACTGGTCCCTACACCTTTACTCTTAATTCTAAATTTCTAGCCTTTACCTTTTGAAATTATGTATATGTAGTCTAATTATATACCTACTTAAACCTTAAGGAGGTTATTATTGTTAGATGTTGTTTCTATTCCTATGAAGTGGATCTGTATGGAATTATGCTTTAAATTCTTAGAAATTAATAATCTGTCATTTTGAAGAAGAGGATAAACTTATATGAAACCTAAGAAAAGTAAAGATAAGAAAAAAGTACAAGTACAAAAGAAAATAGACTGCAATAGTTTCTAAATAATTTCCTAACATCACTATGGTTTTATTTTTAACATGTGTGTGGTTTTATGCATCTAAATTTTTGTTTTGTTTTGTTTTTTTCTTTCTTACTTCCTTTCATAAGTAAGAGAGACAAAGAAAAATAAAAAGATGAAGAGAGAGGCACTCCCCACAAGGTCTTCACACCACAGTTACCCCCAAGCCTCAGCCACCCCTGGATCATGGGCACGCCTGTGTCCGGTGTGTTCAGGGAGGTCTCCAAATGCGAACTAGGAACCTGTCCATGTGGGTTGGCCTGGCAGACTGTCGTATTACCCCTGCACCAGCATCTGGTCCCTGCAACACCAGGCATTGTTCCAAACATAGGAACACAGAGGTGAGAACCAACTGTACTCAGAGTCACAGTCTAGTAAGGAAAATGTTCAAGAAACAAAAATGTAACAACAGATAGTGAAAAGTGGTAAGAAGAATAAGGCAGGGTGAGGGGATATGGAAAGACGAGAGGTAATTGTACAGGCAGGATGGCCAAGGTAGACTTCTTTGAGGAGATAACATCTAAGAATAGAGAAAAAACAGAGAGTAAGTCATTTAAGTGTCTGAAGGAAGAGCTGAAGGAATACCTCTCCAGACAGAGGAAACAGCAGGTACCAAGGCATATGTCCACAGGTTCTCAATCATGTCTACCACTAAAAAGACTTACTGAAAGGACCAGCAGATGGCATAATGGTTATGTCACTGGACTCCCATATAGTCAACAGCAGTTCAAGTCCTGGACCTGGAGGCTTAAAACTCATGCCAGTCGAGTGTGTGTGCATGCCCAAAATTCCGAGACAAGAATGGAGGAGAAGGGATTGTAGTGTGGCCATCTCCCAGGGAGAGTGGTATCTCGCTTTATGCGTCTCTGTCTCTATCTTGCCGGTGAGCACCTGTGCCCTATAGCAAAAATCTCTCTTTAAAAAAAAAAAAAAACAACAACCCTCATACTGGGCATGTGTGCGTGCATGCCCAAAATCCCCAGAGAATAATGGAAGAGAAGGGATGTGGTGTGGCCATCTCCCCTTGAGGGTGATTTCTCACTTTCTATTTCTCTGTCTCTCCAGTGAGCGCAAGCACCCTAAAGCAAAAATCTCTCCTTAAAAAAAAAAAAAAAACTTATAGAATAATCTTAAGACCTGCAAGTATTTTAAAATCTTGTTATTTTTTCAAAGGCTTTCAAAAATCCCAAATATAACTTAACAGCAAAACCCAATAAATAAGGGAAAACATTAGGATAAATTTCCATTAGGGTAAATATCCATAGTTAGAGGCTTTACTTAAATAACATCAGTACTATTTCTAGATAACTTGATACCCTACATTATTGGCTAGCTCTTACAAAAGAAAGAGAACTAAAGTAACCAGTATAGTTCCAATTTCTAGGAAGGATAAGAAAGAAAACTGAGTGGCTTCTACTAATTATCACATTTTGTCAAATGGTTTACTGACAGTCAAAAACAAGGCAAGAAATTTCAAATTGTAACTAACGTCAATAGACTCCATATTTAACTACGAGTTATATTTTAAAACACCAGTGAAGTCACATAGTAGAAACATGTAGTAATAAATAAAAATGTTTTTGTTGCATACGCAAGCAACAAAAAAAGTTCACCTTAGCTACAGAAGACTGAGAACAAACCAACAAAACTGTAAAAAGTACCCGTAAACACTTTTAGTGTAAGAACATGATGGACTACAGTCTTCAAGGAAATATCTACTTTCCCGTGGTTATAACTTTAGATTCGTCAAGATTCCTCATTTCCTAAATTAAAATGTCCTGATGATTTCTTTACCTGAAGATACTGTCTAATCCTACATTTCTGCCCACTCATTCCTATCTTACACTGTGGTCTTTTAAGTTCTGCTCTATTTCTTCCTACCTCTCCTACGAGTTCATGCTCCATAAGCATTATATAATTTGAACTGTATTTGCAAATAATAAGTAAAAAGAAAACAGAAGGAAGTTTTAGGTATCAAACTGGTACCCTTAGATGAGGTTAAACACAAAAATGGAGTTTCTTACCTTTAACTTGCTCTATTACTTTTGGTCTGTGTGGTTTGGACTTGGGAGATGGAGAATTAAATCTGAGGTACGGTCCTTTTTTAAGAGTGCTCCGATGGCCCTGGTAAACTGGTTTTCCATATATTTGTAACATAAAATCCTCATCTTGTATCACTGTGGTTGCTTTCAAAAGTCCCTATGTATACAAAGTTATGCAACTCACCACAAGAATAGTCATCAAAACTTATTTTCTAAAGCCTCCTATTGCTAGCTTAAGGACTGTAATAAGAGTAAAGGTCAGAAGAATCCTCTCTCTTAAATTGCTCTTAAATTCTGGATATAGTTTTTAAACGTGAGTTTAAAAAGCACGAAATTCAAATATAAAAATCATCCACCTAAGAAACATAGAGATTCTTACATTACTAAGCGTATTTTCAGCACTAAAAAATAACATTTAAATATATTTACAGTTATTACATTCAAGTACCATATGCACTAAACCTAATCTTTCAATGACTTTATACATTTCTCATCCTACCTTCAACTATAATCTAAGTGAGCAGTTACTAAAAACACCAAACACTGAATTAGATGCTTTACTAATCTACTCAGTAATCCCTGTTTAGCTTTAAGAAAGTTACAGCGGGCCTAACCACAGTGGCTCAGGTGCCACTATGTGATGGTGTAATGCTGAAGCCACATGGAGGGCCCATGGTACGTGGACCAATGTATAACATGCCTAGTACAATGGTGTATGACTGTATCCTAGCTAACTGGGGAATTTGGGATACGAGTGTCACAGCATGCTGAGACCTTGTCAAAAAATAACACTCTTCCTTACTCTCATAGAAAGAAAGAAAGAAAGAAAGAAAGAAAGAAAGAAAGAAAGAAAGAAAGAAAGAGAGAGAAAAGAAAGGAAGAAAGAAAAATGTTATACGGGCTTATTAGAGCCACCAAGAAATTCCTTCATAGCATCTATTGACAGTACCGTGCCTCATACTCACTAGGCACTAAACATACAATTGTTAAAATAAAAACTAAACAAAGAAATAAATGCATATACATATATATACACATATATTTATGTATTTATCTCCACAAAGATGAAACACAATTTTGAGTACCATAAACGAAAGAATCTAATTTTCGACGAAATGATCTCTTGATATATCTGTTATAACTGAAATTACTCAATATGGTTCTAAGTGCTCGATCTCAGAAGGAAAGGGCTATGCATTTTGTGCAGTGCTTCCCACATTACGGATCCAAACCATGTGTGCCCACAGTGTAAGCACAGTTTACATTTGTATAGTTCTTCATGCTTTTACATATCTTCATAGCCACTTTATTATACACGTCTTAAAGGAAATGATCAATTGTAATGCAACATTTATGTCACAAAACCAGAATCTTACTTCTTTTCTCTCTTTCTGTAAACTTGAAGCAGGCATGCTCCTCACAGGTGGATTTCTACAATGTCCTTCTTGTTTTTGAGAAGGTTTTCTTGGAACAACAAATTTGTTTACAGTTTTGTCTTGTGTGTTGGTTTTAATATCTTTATTTAGATTCTGAGCTTTCTTGGTCTTTTGACTCTTCTGATCAAATCTTTTTTGTTCATAATCTTTTGTCAGTTCATCCTGAACAGAACCAAAATGAAAATTATTTAAAATCTAGTAAAATAGTAATGATTTTCAATCAGAATGTTTATTCTGATTGAAGTTATAAATGTTTTAAATATAAAGAATATTAGCTTGCAGGGACAACACTATCTGGAAGAATAAACAAAACCTAAAAAGACTAGCATCTCATGGAAAAGGGGAAATGGGAAATGGTATATGAAGTATAAGTAGAAGGGCAATTTTTCACTTTAAACCTTTTATACTTTTTGATGTTTAAACCTTAAAAATTTGGTAAATTTATAAAGTTTCAAAAACAGCAAACAATTTCATAGTAAAACGAAGATAAATCATTATGAACTAAAACTACTGGAAGTTTAAACAAAACATTTTACATGGAACTCAGTGATAGAGTGACACACGTTGCTAGTTGGCTGCAGAGCTAGAACTAGGCTCCAAGTCTTCTTTTTTCTTTTTATTTTAATTTGCTATATGGTGTACACATTTGCCAGAGAAAATGAGAGAGAGATATGGAGTGTACCCCCACCCCCAGGGATGATGGTCTCACCACAATCTCTTCTCCTCCATTCTCCTCTCAGGATTTTAGGTATAAACACACACACACACACACACACACACACACACACACGCGCACGCGCACGCGCACGCATGCACCAGCATATTTTCCAAGTCATGGGGTCTAGGACTTGAACTGATCGGTCAGCCATGTGGGATCCAGTTGCCTTAACCACCACGCCACCAACTGGCACTAGATTCCTAGTCTCCTAACTCTTGGTTCAACTTTTTTTCTGGTCCACATAGTGGCTAATATAAACTCTTCAAAACTTGGGACCAGCAGTTAGCATAAAGGCTATGTCGCTGGACTCCCATGTAGTTGACCGTGGTTCCCATCCCGGACCCAGCGGCTTAAACTCATGTCGGGCGCGTGTGCGTGCATGCCCAAGATTCCGAGAGAATGGAGGAGAAGGGATTGAGGCGTGGCCATCCTCTCTGGGAGGTGATTTCTCACTTTCTGTCTCTCTGTCTCTCTCTGTCTTTCTGGCGAGCGCACGTGCTCTATAGCAAAAACCTCTCCAAAAAAAAAAAAAAAAAGTTATAGAGTTTCAAAATACAGTCCATGATTACTGCTGTGAAGACAAAACTACCACTTCACCTGCTACCACCATAAGCATACAAGCATATCATGTAGTCTGGAAAAATACATTTTGTAAAACAACAGGTTACCCAGTCTAGTTCTGCTTCTTCAAATACATAAAATGCTAAAAATTTCCTTTAGATTACTGGCATCCTAAATAAAATTAACTCCCAGACTTTTTCTCAGGTATCAGGATGTACCATGCCCTTTGTGGATATGAAAGACTGCTTTTCCACTGGGACCTTACTTTGGTAAACTCAGCAACCTTGGAAATTAAGTGTATTTTTTTCCCCTTTAAGTAACCTTGGTATTTTTACCTTGGTAAGACAATACTTCTAGGGACCAGCAGATGGCGTAATGGTTACAATGCTGGACTCCCACATGGCAAGCAGCATTTTGAGTCCCAGACCCTGCAGACTGAATAAAACTCATGCCAGGCAAGTGTGCATGCATGCCCAAAATCCCAAGAGGAAAAATGGAGGAGAAAGGACTGTAGTGTGGCCATCCCCTCTGAGGGTGTGATTTCTCACTTTATGTCTGTCTTTGTCTTTGTGGCAAATGTGTGAGCCCTGTAATAAAAATCTCTCTTAAAAAAAATAAAAAGACAATACTTCTAACTCAACTGTCTTGAAACATATTTGTAAATGTAATTCTTTTCTTTCATAAATGATAAATTTTCTTTCAGATTACTAATATTTTAGTTATTGTCCAATAATGTGCAAGAGCCATAATTTATGTGACAAAGCAACAGTTAAATAAAGCTATACTTATTACTAAGTAAATATAAAGAGTGACAGAGTAAAATTAGGAATTCTAAGTGGACTTATGCATAAGGAGTATTTGGAGAAAAAGTAAGATATTTACAAATTGGAATGAATGTTACCTTCTGAGAATTCACTTAGTTTCTAGTTTTATCCAAACATACCTGAATTTCTGCAGAAATAGTTTTAATCCACTCATCTACTGTCTTTCTGATCCTAATCTTCTCTGACATCTCTCTATAAAAGAGAAAAAAGAATTTTTCTTAAATTAGCACCAATGTCCTTAGATAATTAAAACTCTTACCAAGTTTTGAGTCTACTATGTACCCTAATATCCTTCATTTGAAAAGTTTTCATCTAATTTGTAAAAGACGTATGTTCGAAAAACACAGGTGGACTCCAGCAAATGTGTACCAGAGAGATAAAATATTAAAATTTCCAAGAGTGAAAAGTAGTATCACTATATATACACACATTTTAACTTTATAAGTTCCATGCCTTCACTGGCAATAAAGAATCTTTTCTAAAATAACCTTTGGATGCCTGTCTCACCTGTTGGTAGACAGAGCATTGATAAACGAGTACATGGCAGCTCCATCCTTTGCACGAATAATAGCTTCCAAGTTTTCTTCAAGTACTTTCTTATTGTTTTGTACTCCTCTCAAAATCTTCTCAGCATCTTTCAATATGGATCTTGTATTGGCTGTCTGAAGCTTGGAATTCTATGGAAGATCACAGCAGCTTTAACATAATCACAGAATCTTTTGGCTTAAAAGAAAAAAGGGCAAAATCCTGATCATAAAACTGACACTGATTATTTGAGTCCAAACACGAAATTTTACTATGGTTGAGGACGTACCCCACGCCAATATTTCCTAAGTAGTCAATTTGTCAAATTGAAGAGTTACAAAAGAATACCTTTCAGTTAAGTTTTTTTTTTTTCTATTTAAAAGCACTAATATGAGTTTTAAATAAAATTGATGAGAAATCCAGAGCAGTGCTAGGCAATCCTGTGCCCAATAAAATCTCTATCTAAGCTAAACTAAAAGAAGAGCAAGTTGGCGCTAGGCAGCTTCAGCAGATCCCGTGGATGAGATAAACCCAGGTCATTCACGGCTCTTTCCCCTTTCTGTCCTCTCCAACAGAAGCTGGAGAGCCGGAGAACGCCACATGGCTCAGTCCTGCCCAAGGAGCACTAAGTGGAAATCACCTAGTGGGGGACATTATGTAAAGGGAACAGACACAGCTAACAAATCTTTTTCGGTGCCTTTTTTTTTTTTTTTTAAGAATTATTTCATTTTTTTCAGTGCTTTAATTTTCATCCTTCCTTTGATTTCTGTCTTTATAATTTTTTAACTTTTTCCTCATTTTTATTTATACTAGTCATCCATTTTCACACCATGCCTGTTTTACCTGGAACATGCCATTTGTTTCTTTCCTCTTTTGACCAAGATCATGAAGAACATCATCAGACCTCTCCATAATCTTGGTGGCTGTTCCAAGCTCTTCATAGGAAGGAAATTGTTGAGAAAGTAGAGTTTCAGCACTATAGGAGATAAGGAAAAATTTTCTTAAATTCTCAAAATTCAGTAAACGTTTGATTACATGACCTTTTGATACATTCTTAGTCTATATTACTAAATAGTATGCTATTAAAATTCTATCATGGAGTTAATCAGCTACATGAGTAAATATAGGAAACACAGAAAATCACAAGAAATGAAATTAGTCTGACCAGAAAGGTTTAGGCATAGCAGGAAAAGAGCAGAAAAAGGTTTCCAAGAAGCCAGCATTAAGAAACACCTCCTAACTAGTGAAGTAGGAACCTCTGAAAACTTGCTCCTCCGTAAGAACAACAAAACCACTAGTAAAAATCATCTAAATCAATTTTTTCAGAACTCTAGAAATTAAAGAAAGGCTTGTAACAATTCAAGGAGCACTATACTCAAGAAAAATGGCTGATTATGAGTAAGAACAGTGAGCTCTATGGCATTTTTTTTCTTTTTTTTAAGAATTATTTCATTTAACTTTATTTATTTTACCTTGACCAGAGAGAAAGCAAAAAAGCAAACCACTAGGTCCCGGACTCGAACCACAGTCAGCCACGTGGGAGTCCAGTGCCCTTAACCACCACACCATCTGCCAGCCCCGTTTCATGGCATTTCTTAAACTTGTCCCACTCTCAGGAAGCTTTCTGAAAGCTTTACCAAAGCAGTCAACAGACACTGTCCTTGAGGAAATACACACATTAGCCTTGTTAGATAAACATAATTTTTTTAAAAGAGGGAGGGATTCAGCAGACAGCCTGGTGGTTAAGGGACTGGACTCTCACATGACCAACCATGGTTGATTCACAACATAGAGGCTTAAAAATCATGCCATATGGGGACCAGCGGGTGGCATGGTGGTTAAGGCATTAGACACTCCCACATGCCCAGTCACAGTTCAAGTCCCAGACATGGTGGCTTGCAGTTCCTTTTCTTACTTTCCCTCTTTCTCTCTCTCTCTCTCTGTCTCTGATCAAATTAAAATAAATGAATAAATAAAATTAAATAAAAAATTCTTTTAAAAAAATCATGCCAGGCACATGTGTGTGCATGTCCAACATACCAAGAGGAAGCTGGAGAAACGACTATAGTTTGGCCACCCCTCCTGGGAAAGGTGGGGGTGATTTCTCACTTTCTGTCTCCAGCATGCACACCTGCCCTATGGCAAAAACATAAAAGAAAAAAAAAGTTTAAAAATTAAAGTATAAGAATGAAGTTTTGGGGCCAGCAGGTAGAGTGGTGGTTGAGGATGCTGGACTTCCACATGGCTGACCACGGTTCAAGTCTTGGACCTGGTAGCTTGCTTTCTCACTTTCTCTCTCTCTCTGTGTGTCTCTCTTCCTCTCTCTGTCCCTTTCTGGTCAAATTTAAATAAATAAGTAAATAAATAAAGTTAAATAAAATAATTCTTTTAAAAAAGTGAAGCTTTGCCAATAGAGGATGATCAATAAAGAAACAAAAATTAAGTAAAACTAATACAGGGACTCAACTGCCATATCTTTTTTTTTTTTTTAACAATTATTTTATTTAACTTTATTTATTTATTTAGTTAATTAGTTATTTTATTTTGACCAGAGAGGGACAGAGTGAGAGCAAGAGAGTATGAAAGCAAGTTGCCAGGTCCAGAACTCAAATCATGGCCAGCCATGTGGAAGTCCAGCACCTTTAATCACCACACCACCTGCCGGCCCCCTCAACACCATTTTTCTGAGTTGGCAGAAAAATCAGTAAGCTTGAAGGTGGGTTGACTGAGATTGTCATCCAAAGAATGGAAAGAAAAAAGAATGAAGAAAATGAACAGATCCTCAGAGACCTGTGGGACATCACCAAGCACACCAAAACACAATACAGTCCTGGAAGGAAGAGAAAGATCATGCACACTGCTTAATTGTAGGAAGAAATAATGACTAAAAACTTCCCAAATTTAACAGCAATTAATCTATTCATCCAAGAAGCTCAATAAAGTCCAAGTAGGATAAACTCAAAGATCTATTCATACTCAGACCCATTATAATCACACTGTCAAAAACTAGGACAAAGGGAGAACCTTGAAAGCAACAAGAGAAAAATGACTTATACTTAAAAGATCCTCAATAAGATTACCAGCCGGCTTCTCAGGCAAAACTACAGAATCCAGAAGGCAATGAGATATATTTGAAGTGCTAAAAGAAAAACATCATGCAAAAATTCTGTATTTACCAAAACTGTACTTCAAAAGTGAAGGAGAGAACATGAAAGATGCATGTGCAGAGAGGTGGCCATGTGAAGAGACAACCAGAAGAAGGCCATCTGCAAGTCAAGAAGAGAGGCCTCAAAAACACCAACTGCCAGCACCTTAATCTTGGACTTCTAGGCTCTACAACTGAGAAACTAAATTTCAGTTTAAGAAAAAGAAAATTAAATGAAGGAAAAATTAAGACAATCCTGGAGTCAGCAGGTGGCTTAGTAGTTAAGTCCCTCAACCCCCGAGTCCTGGACCTGGTGGCTTGAAAAATCATGCTGGGCACCTGTGCATGCATGCTGAAAACTCCAGGAGGAGAAAGGATTGCAGTGTGTCCATCCCACGGGGGCAGGGGTGAGAGGCTGGTTTCTCACCTTCCCTCTCATTGTCTCTCTCTGGCAAGTGCACATATCCTACGGCAAAAACCTTCTTGAAAAATTGTTTTATTGGGACCAGCAGATAGTGTAATGGCTGGTTCACTGAACTCCCACGTAGTCGACCACGGTTCGAGTCCCAGATCTGGTGGCTTAAACTCATGCCAGACATGTGTGTGTGCATGCCCAAGATCCTGAGAGGAGAATGGAGGAGAAGGGATTGCGGCGTGGCCATCCCCCCTGGGGGGTGATTTCTCGCTTTCTGTCTCTTTGTCTCTCGTCTGTCTGGTGAGCGCACGCACCCTATAGCAAAAACCTCTCAAAAAAAAAAAATTGTTTTATTACAATTCAACTATGGATGTATATGAAACAAAATAAATGGAGATCACTTCTCTCCTACAAAAAAAAAAAGTTTTATAATTAGGACAATCCCAGATAAAAAGGTAGAGAATTCACTGCTAGCACACCTGTCCTACAATAAATACTAAAGGGGGTCTTTGCACACCTGCCCTACAATAAATACTAAAGGGGGTCTTTCTAGGAACAAAAAAAGGACATAAGACTTTAACTTGAATCCATAGGGAGAAATAAAGAATACTCACAAAGGTTAGCTATGTGTAAGTACAAGACAGTATAACTCTTTTCTTCGTTCTGACTTAAAAGAGAGATACAAAAAGCAATACTTATCAAGTTGCATGGTGGAAGAGAAGGGATTGCAGTGTGGCCATCCCCCCAGGAGTGATTTCTCCCTTTTTGTCTCTCTCTGTCTTTCTGGCGAGCACACATACCCTATAGCAAAAACCTCTCCAAAAAAAGAAAGAAATAGTAAAGACACAACAAAGAAATTAAAATGGCACATTAAAAAATATCTAATGAATACAAAGAAGGCACTAATGGAGGAACAGTAGACTACAAAGACATAGTGAAAACACATAGCAATATGGCAGATACAAGTCCTGTCTTATCAGTAATTTAAGTGTAAGTAGATTAAAAATGTACAATGTCTCCACATACAATTACTAAAAATGTGGCTTTTTTAGTTTTTATTGCCATAGTTTTCATGATGTTGAAGATAAGTATAATTATCACGGTCCACAAGAAGGTTCCACATGGCTCCAGCAAACTAGATTTTTCAGGGAATGAAGATTTTCTACTGATAATTCAGCCTCCAACAAACGAGCTAGTGACAGTAGCTAAACATCCAAATACTAATAGGGTTAAAATATTCCCCAATATCTACTGAATCTGCTGCACCAGCGATCACAACAGAATGGCAAAGAGATTCTAGATCACCTCTGTCTGCTTGCTCCTGAACATTCAGGCTGAACTTCAAGAATTTGAAAGAAACACACCATCCATCAGATGACAAAAAATCGCCGCCGGATCATGAGAAATATGGGAAAACGAGAAAACACCTCTCCTCCAAGGGAAAAGAGTAACTCTTCTTCTTCCACAAGCAATTCAGTGAAAATCATGGAAACGTCTGATAAAGAATTTAGAGCATTCATAATGTCGAAGCTAACAGAGATGGAAGAGAAGAGAGATAATGAACTGCTAAAGAGAAAGGAGAAAGAAGTTGACGAGTTCCAGGAGATGAGGAAATTCTTGCAAGATCTAAAAGAGGAATTACACACTTTACAAAAGACTCAAAAGGAACTCTTAAAGATAAAGTCTATAATATAGGAAGTCAAAATCTCCCTTGAAAGTACTAAAAGCAGACTAGATCATTCAGAAAATAGAATCTCAGATGTAGAAGAGAAAATGGCTGGC